TGCATTCAATCGCGAACGATGACATCGAGGGGGTGGTTTCCTTGTCAACGAGGGGTGAGCTTCTACAAGCTGGGACAAAAGCTCGCATTCATCATAAAATTCGACATTCTTTCCTCATATTTTTTCATGTATCTCTGAAGTTATATCGCGAATATATTTGCAAACGCTCTCTACTGATCCAATTATCTCTCTTTCCAATAATTAATAATCATCGAACGATTAAGAAGATTCGATAAATTCGATGAATATGTATATATATATATATAAAAGATCGAAGTAAAAGCTTTCGTTCAAAAGGATTAATAAATGGATAAAAGGGATTCTCTCCGATTCTCAGGAAATTACGAGCAGTTCCACGCGATATGCAGATCCTCGATTTCAACGAGGAGAAGACCCGACACCGCTGCTTCTCCCGTCTATTTGGACGGAAGGGCGGAAATGGAGTAAATACGGGAGGGTTGCGTTCAGTTTGTTTTTTCCCCGGGCAACAAAGGGGATCAGGTTCACGGGACGTGAAAAAAGGGGGAAATGCAGTTATTGTGTTGCCCTCAGGATCGAAGAATCGTCTTCTTTCGCGAGGAGCGTGACCCAGCCGGAAGATTGAAAGGGAGGGATGTTAGAGACGAGTTCGAATAGGAATAGAATCCTGAAGTGTGAAAAGAGACGTCGAGTTTGAATCGAGGTACGTTGAGTAAATATCTCAAGGGAATTGATGAATATAGACGAAACTCTTTGATGTAAATAATATGGCGACACGTGATTGTAATAATTTGGAATTTCTATTTTTTTATCTCGTTTTATAAATAATAAGATTACTGAAAGAACGAGATAATAAATTTACATGCGATATAATTATCATGGAATTTATTTTTTTTTTTTTTTATGGATGTCTCGACTTTATTATAAAATGAATATTTTCTTCTTCTCAAGTAATCTGTACAATTGATTATTGAAAGGATATCGATAATCTTGGTTTTATTTATCTTCAATTTTAACATCTCTCTTTTGTTAGTGTAACCATAAAAATAAAAAAAATAACAATGCTCGCCAATTTAATTCATTCATCATCGCACAATCGTGATGCAAATTATGCAAACTCGAATTGTATTCATCACGAATTCCGACCTTTATGCAACAGAAAATTAAATCGATTTATACACCCCATATATATATATATATATATCTCCATCTCCCAAAATGATCGAACGAAAAAAAAAAAAAACGAACGATAAATCCAACCACAAATCAACCGTCAAACCCACGAGACGATTAATATCCAACGATAATCCGCGATCATAGAAAACATACCTGAAACACGAGCAATGAACGAGAGAAAGAGAGAGAAAGAGAGAGAACAATCCGGAAACAGAAAGTTGGGATAAATGGATCCCACCTGATTCAGATCTGAGACATCCATCGAATCTCCGCCACAATGAAAATCGTGAAGATAATCGATACATAAATTTTCCAAGGAGGATTGGATCGTAAAAAGAAAAAAAAAAGAAAAAAAGAAAGAAAAAAGGAAAGGAGAAGGTGCAAGACACGGGAGGGAAGAGAAGGGAAAAAGAGGTAAGCAGAAATCGACTGGGTCGCGTAAATCAAGGAGGGGGTGGCCAGGTCGATTCCTCTGCAATCCCTACGTTCGTGAGACTTCTATCACTGGTGGGTGTTTTATCGAGCGGTTCCACGGCCTACCTTCAACCTTAAATTACAAGGTCGCAGCTATAGAAAGCCCAGCGAAGCACCAGGTATCCCCTGGTGTGCAAGTCGTCGTGTCAGGGACGAAAGCTCTGCTGCTAACGAACAAACGCTTGGCCCGTGCTAAGGGTGGTTTTGTACAGGCTGCTTCAAAATTGAAGATTCCTTCAAGAAGAATTTCTGAGTCTGATTGAAATTGTTCTCCAAGTTGATCAAGTTTCTTCATGGCACAAATTTTGATTCGAGAGATTAGTTTAGCTGGCTGTAATAAGGATGGTTTTGTACGAGATTCTTCAAAATTGGAGATTTTTCCAAGGAATACAGGAAATCTTTATTCGGAAAATTTGTTCCTTTGAAATTCCTTTTCTGGACAAGTATGTAGGAAGGAAAATTCGACTCGAATATTGTTAACAAAGACTTTTGTCGAATTTGGGTTTGAGCTTTTTTTTAAAGATTTTTTAGAAATAGTACAGAGTGTTTCGAAATTGAGAATTTTTTTTTTTTAAATTTGTTTCTCCTGATTAGACAACTTTTAGCTTAAGAGTATCTTGTTGAAGGGTTTCTAGTTCGTTATAGATGAGAGTTCAGATTACAGGATTTTGAGGATTAGCAGTTAGGATGTGTCGGAGTGCTAGGATTATTAGGGATTTAGGCCTTAAGTTGCAATTCTGAGATCAAGTTTTGAAATTTTAGATCGTTAGGATGTTTTTAAAGAATATATCAAAACTCTAGAGACAAAAGTTTTATCGTTAAGATCATCAGGGATTAAATTTCTTTCTAGATTTAGAAGAGAGAGAGAGAGATTCTATTCTTTTCGTAATTTCGAAATAAAAGAATTTGGACGAATTTAGGACAGATTTCGATTTCTTAAAGTTCGAGACTCCAAAAGTATAATAGCTCCTTAGAATTTAGAAATCTCGAATTTGAGATTATACATCTTAGGATCTTGGAATTTAGGGTTCCAAGGATTAACAGTCTAATTTACGAGACTCCAGAATCTAAATAATCCTTAGGATTAAGGACTCTATAACACGAATTTAGCTTCTAAGTATCATTTTAACATATATTCACTATTCTTATTCAATTCTCGGTTTAACAAGTGATGTCGAAACATTTCCATTCTTAGTAATAAATACTTTTCATTATTAAAAACACGAATTTTACAATTTAATTTCTCGATTTTTTAATTTAAATTTACCATTTTTTATCCAATTCTCAACGTTCAACAAATAACGCGTAAAATATCCATTTCTATTCTTATTAAAAAACTTATTTATCCTATTATTTATTGATAAAAACATCGAATCGAAATTTTTAAATTAATTCCGTCACAGATAAAAATGTTATTCTTCCGCCATTCGTAATTTTTCTCGAAACAACATTCAAAGGATGATCCATCCGAGGAATACCACCATCCCCCTACAATTCCACATTTTCAACTCCCTTGCTGTAGTTTCAATACTACGTGATGCAACGCGAACGCAGCATCATGCGCGTTAATAGGCAATAGAGGAATGTCACGGGATCTTACGCCATTTCCACCATTCCGTTGGATGAAATACGATAACGAGTCTGATTCATAGAACGATGAGGAAGAGGGAGGAGGGCGGAGGGAGGGGAGTGGTTCGCGGATGGTTAAATGGAAAGCGATTTAACCTCCCCCTCGGTCCAGATTTATTTTGCAATTTAGCCTGACAGTATGCTGTTCATCTCGCGAATCTGTGATTCCAACTTAAATAATTCATAGCCCCTAATACGAATAGTAATGGCGACCGTTTAAAATCCCCGTGCCCGCTGAAATATTCAGGCCGCGGCCACGAGCATTTTCCTGCACGTCCGCGAATAAACGAAACTATAACTGTTTATGCGGCGATTGAATTAACGATTGTAAATCAAAACGAAACCGCGAATATTTCAACCGACGACAAGGCTGGCCAATGAGGGTATAAACAGACGTCCAGAGAGGATGATGTCGGGGCTGAAGAGATAGAGAGGAAAATCTAAACTGAATTTTAAGTTATTGAAATACTACGCTACATTGACAAAAAAAAAAAAAAAGAAAAGAATTCAAAAAAATAACAGCAAGTAATTTACACTTGGTTTCATCATTTAATAACTCGTAAGTTTAAATATTTCTAAATATTCTCGTCTTAATTTGATCTAATACTCTCTGATCGAACTTTCCAATTCTACAAAATTGTATGATATTCAGAATAACGCTAAAAAAGAAAGCTTCAAAAAACTTTCTCAACATCCGCTTCTAACATTCTCTTTTTCCCTCGTTTAAATAATCCACCGATCTTTATTTTTCCCCCATGTTCAAACAACTTGCAAAAGCTCTCCCCCTCGAAAAAAGAAAAAGAAGAAAGAACGAAACTCTAACGAAACCATTTCCATCACGTTCCACCGCGCAAAGGTGTATCGGTGGAAAGAGGAGAAAAAGGAGAGAGAGAGAGAGAGAGAGAAAAGAAAAGAGATATAAACGAAAAGAAAGCGGCGTGTCTCGGGGCGAAATGCAAGATCCCTCGAAATCCCGAATCGTCGCCGGTGGTTGGCGCGAAACGCTCGTTTCACAGAGGGGCGACGATTCAGCAGAATCGCCAAATTGCTGACTGCCGCCACGCGGTTCTGTTTCCTGTTCTCGCGGTTTTATCCCCGCCCCCGCTTCCGTGTTTATATCGCCACCGACCAAGTTGGCCTCCTTCGCCACGGGGAGGGGACGATTAAACGTCATAATTTCCGTTTATAATTGACCGATCATCATCCTCGACCACGGCCAGAAACGATACAACCGGAAACACGCGCCCTGTTTATCAGTTCATTGGATTAACGCGGCCGAGGCATTATCGCGTTATTACACCAGGGATGAAAATGTCCGCTCGATCCCGGTGTAACCACCAATCTTGTAATTAAAATTTGTTGCTCCTACGCTTAGTTAGGAAACTTTGATCGCAAGCCTCGATTATTATATAGTTGGCGAGATGTTAGATATTGAAGGGATATATCGTGCAACTTCTCCGTGATCTATCCTTGTTCCATGGATAATACATCCTCGATTAGGGGATTATTAAGGGTATTAGGAGACGGGTACGCTATTGTATGAGCTAATTTTTATTTATTTCTCGAGGATTATTGGGTATTTTGTGTCAATTGCGTGTATAAATTTAAGAATAATCTAGAATTTTATAAAGAAAGTCCTTTAGTAAAGAAAGGAAAATGGAGATGGATATTTCTCAAAGGAAAAAAATTTAAAAATTATGCCCAAGTTTAGAAATTATGAACGTATGAAATATTGAGCTTACCTTGGCACGTTTGGAATATTTCAAGTATTGGTAATGATGATTGTCATAGTTGAAAACGTGTGGTGTCAAAGTTATGTCACGATTTCGCATTTTGCCAGAAAGCGCCTTCTGTCGTTGCAGTTGCATCTTCTTGTTGTGGGCGCGAAGGTCGGAAGCTGGAAAAAATCGATTTTTAATTAATGCATTGTTCGACAGGATATAATAAATAAGAAGTAAATAAATTTCCTAAATTTCCAAATCCACTCTCTTGTAAATCACCCCCTCCCCCCCCAAAAAATAATAGTTTCTTATGGAAATTTGTTTTAATAATGATTTAATTCCTTTCACAATCCCCTTTTTAAAATATATATTCTCTAGCTTTCTAAATTGCGAAAGAAATTATTCAGTATTATCGAAAGATCGATAGAGAGAGTGTAACGACGTTGAAAATCGTTGAAAATTTAGGGAGGAGGGGGGGATATGTCGAGGAAATTCGGACGACCGAACGAAAACTCATTAATCGCGTGTAAATAAATGAGCATTTGCATTCGACACACGCGGCGACAAGCTTTTCGATGATTTTTAAATAAACGCGGCGACGTTGCAAACGCGATAAAACTCGATTGTCGACGTTTACACGCCTGTTTCCGAATATTTTATGCCCCGTTCACGGTGGCTTTATTAGTCCACCTGCGTTTGTTTGTTCCAAGCTTAACTACAAATTGTGTTTTTCGTTTGAAAATTGGGGAGGGGGGAGGGGGAAGCGAAATAAAAATTATTCCATTCATTATTATTGCACAACGTTCGGGAATATCGTATACCTTCGCGAATATTCCGTTTGTCCATCCTTTCAAACACGTATCAAACTCCATTTTGGATCGTGAATATTTTGCAAATACGTATCGTCACTTGTACCATGTTTTGTAGTTTTGGATTGACGTTGATGGATATTTTGACCTCCGGTTTTCAAATCGACACAACCGAGTCATAAATTTGGATTTTCTCAATAATACGAGATAATTTATTATTTTATTGAAACGACTTCTTTTCCCCTCCCCCATTATTTCGAAACTGTATTATTGTGTATGAAAGTAGATTGGATGGATTTTATAGTTTTTGAGAATCGTTATGCTCGATGATAGAGAATTTTATCGTTAATATTATATTTTTCTTGCACAAAACTTCACAATGCGTGTCTTTATTGCTTTTAATAATTATTCCTTTATGTTTGTCTTTTCAACAAAATTTTGAATTATTTTCTCAATTGTAATTCAAGAATTTTATTTCAAGCTTTATCACGTGATTTAACCAAGTCCATATTGCAAAATTTCCTTATTAACTTAATTTAAATTAATCGTTATTTTTATTGAAATGAATTACAATTCAAATGTGAACGATATAATTTAGAATTCGAGAAAAAAAAACAAAAAAAAAATAGTTTCTTGTTAAGTTAATTGTATTTTCTTAGATCTAGATTCTTTCGACATTACGAATCCACACGCAGACAGTGCAGCCTCGTACGCTTTAACACTGACATTATTGTTCTAACAAGCAATTATGAATATTCATGGTGGATGTTTGTCCCTGGGAGCAGACAGAGGGACGCAAACAGAGTCCCACTGTTAAACCGACGTTATGTGTAGTTGCCTATGAATAAACTAACGAATTAATTCCACGTGTAAAATTAGAAAAATCGTCCAAGCGAATTCGAGATTACGAAATGATTCGTTTAGGATAATTAAACGTTCCTAATTTCGTATTTTTCAAGATGCAATTGTTGAAGGAATAACATTACGATATTGTAAAATAGATATAGGATAAAAGACGAAATATATCGTATATAAAATTGTTGGAAACCCGTGAAAATTCGTTGTGGAAAATTGATCAGAATTTTTTTTTCTTTCTTTTTTTTTTTGTTTCGATATCGATATCGAGTATCGAAGTAGAATCCCAGAACCATTAATTCGCCTCTCAAAACCTGTCTGCGATAAATCAAACCGGCTTCCCGGATAATAAATCGAGTTTGCTTGCCCTATATTCAAGGTTGTGGATGCCTTCTTTTTCTTACACACGATGGACAAAAGTTCGTTTCTTGTTAATAAAAATTGTATCAATCTCTTGTTTTATGAGAGATAAAAACGAGAAATAACAATTCGAAATAACTTTAACTACTTTACGTTACGTCGTGGATAAAATATTATTTTTATATCATTTTTAAATCGAGGAGTTCGTATTAAAGACCATCTTTATCAATTTTCTTCCCCAGAATAATTTAGAATAATTTATACATCCTTGTCTTTTTTCTTCAACAAAAATATTTATCGATATTTATCGATATAGATCTGTAACATTCATTCGAGATTGCCAAGTCACGGTGAAAAGAAAATTTTATTACGAACACGAGATTTTTATGAAGTTTTATGATCGAACTACGCGTGTTAATTTGAACGATTGGAAAAAAGAAGTAAGTATAGTGGAGAAGTGATAAATGAAATCGTTGATACTGCGAAAAATTTCAAATATCTTCCTTTGATATCCCGAGTATTTTAAACAGCTTCTACGCGAAGTTGACCTGAATACTTGGTTCGCACGCGAAGAAAGGGTGCCGCGGATAAATTGCACGCGAGTCCCTTCAAGGCTGAAAGAACTGTAAAATTCTTCTACCCTACAATTCAGGGAAATTTTATTTAATCTTCTGTATTATCTTGAAAAGAACTTGCTCATGGTTCCACACGATTTTTATATCTCTTAAAATTTCAAGTCGATTTAATATTTTTTTTTATCGCGCAATATAAATGTGTTAAAACTTTCCTTCGATTCAAATCTCATCAATCTTTATTATCCGTTCATTCTACTAAATTTCTCTCCCACTTCCAAATTCGTTACGTATACTTTTAGCCATTCCAAGAACGAAATATCTTCTTGAAATCTTTCCAAAGAAAGAAAAAAAAAAAAAAATACCAATATTAAATAATTTCCCTCTCTATCCACGAATGATCGTCGATCGAATTATAATATCCTCGTTATAATTCCATCCGAATTAATTCCCTTTCATCCAGAGAACAATTTTCACGTCGAATTTATATCACATTGCCGATTTCCGTTTGGAAAACGATCGCCACGCACGGCGGATCCTCACCTTTGCAGGGGCAGAATCCTTTGCAGGCGATGCGGACCGACGTGTGGTGGATGCAATTGTGGTATTCCAGCCGGCATGGGGAGCTGTACGTGCGATTATCGCTCCCGCAAAGGAACGTCGGCTTAACCACGGGGCATTCTTGACATCTGGAAACAAAAAATGCGCGCGCCGTTAAACGAAAATTGTTCCACGCGCAACAATTTAATTCCTCTTGAATGTATATCTCCCCTCCCGTTCCTCCATTTTCATAACTCTGTTTCCACCGCGGTTTCGCTGCTTTCTCCCCCTTCATTTTTGTTCCTAGAATTTCTTTATTTCCCCACGTTTCGACGGCCAATCCCTCGAAAGGGAAAAGTTACGATTGTAATGAATTAATCAATTTTCTACTTTGCGATATTTATCAATATATTTTCCATTATTCCATCTTTCCTCCCAATTTAATTCGATCTCATTGATCGAATTAGCGCTATCTTTTTAAATCATATCGTGTTCGCCGATATATTGCTATATAAATAAGGAAAATAATTTCCTTAAAGCCCGAATTCGCCCGATATTTCAACCGCGTATAACTTTTATATGGCGCAATATGAATACTAATTAAGCGATTTTTCATTAGAACAGTGAAACTTTATTAAAAAAAAAAAAAAAAAGAAATATATATATATATATATACACACACGCACAAATTGGACTATTATTTCGCGATGAATAAAAGTAATTAAAAGATTTCATATCGCGAAGAATATTTTTCACCGCGCAACAGAGGAACTCTATTAAAATATAAATTTGACTGTTACTCCCTCCTGTATCCTGTTATTATATAACGTAATAACGTCGATAAAGTCGCGAGAGAGAGAGAGAGAGAAAGGATGGGTTGTTGCTCTTTGTTAAAATTCTCCCGCCATTTTACCGTCTCCCCCTCCCCACGTGGAAGGGAAAAAAAAAAAATTCCAAGCTTCATAATCATTAACCAGTGCATCCTCGTAACACGAAATTACCAAGGCCTTTTCCTTTACCCAGCGCAAACAATGTTGCGCTACGAGCACCGTGAAAAGGGGGTGTCTGGAATACTATTATAATGCGTTTAGTGGTGCGCGCACGAGCGGCCATGTTAATTATAATTTTATATTATTACTTCCCGCCGTATATTATGGCCGTTAAATATTCCTGCTTAGAATTCCCTTAACGAAAAATGGTCACCATGGTGGAAGGGAATTGGATAAAGATTCTGGTTCAACAGAGATATTTTTACAAACAGTTTTACAACAGAGATATTCGAAAGCATTCTTGTGTTTCAATTTTTTGTTTCGTCAAGTTATATACGGTTACGAATTAAATAAGTTATTAAGTTACTTTTATAATTTAATGGAAATCTTTCTGCTTGATGATTTAAAATTATCATCGTTTTTTTTCTGTGGTTATATACGTGGTATATATGTGGTTATTTAATGCGTATAGGCGTTCTGTGCAGATGTGTAATTTAAAGAATTAATTTAATCGTTATTTTTTCTTTTCTTTTTTTTTTTTTTCTATATGCGCGGTAAAACGTACGGTTTTACATTAGTAGTACGTGATGATGAAAGCTTTTGTTAAAGCTTTTATAAAACTTTGTAACTTTTTGATGTAAATTTGTTACGTAATAAATGTCTTATAAATGTTATCGTAATTGTCTCTTATAATTTTAGTAGTAATTTTTCTTTTTTTTTTTTTTCTGATTAATAACTTCGTTCAATTTTTTTTTTTAGCGTCACCTAATCGATTGATCGACGAAAATTATTACACTTTTCCTCTCGAGCAAAATTACGCACGGAAATTAATATGCGATAATGTATCGTTTACTTAACCATTAAATAAAATCAATTGAGATATATTGCTTGATTGAAATTATTATAAAATATAGAATAAATTTCATGCTTGTTTCACGTGCTAAATTTACTTCCTTCCAATAATTCTGAATTAATTTTGCCGTTCGTTACAAAATTAAGAAAATGCTAACAATCGAGTAATACATTATCGTTGTATAGTAAAAAATGTATTGGACTGGATAGATCTATTCTGTATCTAGCATGTAGAAGTATGGCGGTATAATAAAGAAGGGTCCCTTTGCGGATTCGGCTACAATACCGGTTGGGTTGGGAGACTCGAGAATTTGTGGTTGTCGGCAAATGCATAATTAGTTTAAACCGAGTAACACCGTAATTAAGCTGGTTTAACTCCTTTATCAAGATGGAGGCCTGCGGCTTTTCGGTCTTGTCATTTTCAAGAAATTCGACCCCCAGACTTTAAAGGGGAGAAGAAGGGTTGTAGATAGATTTTTTTTAAAGATCGCTTAACTCTTTGAACAGCTCGTACAATGTAACATATTTCTCCTCAAAAATTAGAATAATTATTTTTAAAACGAATAAAAGTAACAAGATTTTCATTTTTCAGTTGAGAAGGAGAATTGAAAATATTTTCTAGATATCGATATACGAATCTTTTCAAATGAAAGAAGGAGAAGGATAATTTTATGAATATTTTCCATCTAGATTTTCATAATTGAAGAATACAGTGGGAAATAGATACATTTTTATTAAAGAATCGTGAAAATATATAATAAAAAGTTGTAGAATGAATAAACGAAATAATAAAGATACGAAATTGATCCATATATATCTACCCGGTTACATTTTGTTTTATGCAAAATGATAGATCTTGACGTGTCTTCGTGTATTTGGTATAAAAAGAAATACAACGATGTATTTGTTGTTGTATCGAAACTTCGTATTTATGAAACAAATTGCAGAAAAAAAAAAAAAATGCAGGATAACCCAGTTAAATACGATTTATTTATATCAGATAGCATTTTGAATATTTTTGTTATAAACTAGGTTATGTAAATTAACGCAAATTTATTTATTGCTAACGTTTGTATCGGATCAAGTTTCAGTCACCTTAGCCTACTTTTATTTTATTTTTAAATTGTTTAACCATCGTTCAACTTACATACATATGTACACACATATATAACAAATAATATAATTAATCCACTTTCCCGATCGAACAGGCACGCAATAAATCGATTGATTAACGAGATTCTTTTCCAATTCGTAAAAAATCGTTATAATCTTACCTCCCCGTTCTTTCATTAACCTAACCTAATCAAAAATTTCCCTCGAAACCACGCGCTCAAAATTATTGCCTATTCGATTATTCAATCGGCTCGATAACGACAGAGTCGATTGGCCACGTAATCTCGATGCCTGCTTCCGGGAACGAATTAATTCGCGCGTACGTTCGTTTCGATTGCGTCCGATTGCAATTTCGTTCGCTCGACGAAACGAAAACCGCCGATCGTAATTAATCGTCGTTCGTCGTTACAGATTCGTCAATCGTTAATTTCATTCCGGATTTTTTCGCGGGGAGCGGACGGTTTCTTCTACATTCTCGTTGCAATATATTCTCCCCTCCATCGACTCGGTCGTCAAACAAAGCTTTCCCCTCTGTATTAAACAGAAAAATTACTCGAAATATTCGCCCGTTGATTTTTCCCAGCACCGCTCCTTCCAATAATTTCACGGTGGAAGAAATACCAGCTCGTGGTGATTCTTTTCTACGGAAAATTTCTTCTCCACGGAAAATACGGGAACAGGGAAACGAATCTTGTTGCATTGAATATTGATATTTACAGAGGAGGAACAATGACGACGACGACGACGATGATGATGATATACTCGCAACTGGAGTTGTATAAATCGTTTGGTAAATTACAACGAATTATTTTGGAAATTTTGTTGCGTTGACGCGACGAAATGCCACCTCGCGAATAAAATTTTAACCGTACGTGTATTATATTTTACGCGAGAATAATTTTGCGTGTAAATTATAATGAAAATTAGGACGATTTATTAAAATAATAATCGCAAAATGTGTGAAATGTATAATAAAAAGATAATTTTTAAAGTTCAAAACAATTTTCGTAACATTTTTCGCGTTTTTTGATAAAATTTAAAAACTTGAACTGAAATTTAACTGCAAATTTTTATCAATTATTAATATACGCGTCACGCGCGTGCACGTGTTACGATAATAATAATAATAACATATTATTATTACTCTTCCAATTGTATAATTAATTGATTTAAAAAAAAAAAATTGACGACGTGATAAAACGCGCTGAAAACACTTGCACCCGTCCCGTTACATCGAATATTTTTGCCTTCCTACTAAATCAAATAAGAATTTACGGCATCATCGTATCTCTTTCCTACGTTTATTTTCCATTTGTTTTCAAGAAACGATCCACTTCTTTTCTTCAGGATATTAAAATTTTAAACAAATCTCCGAATATTCGTTTCTTCCACGTCTACGACTTCTATAACAGCTGCATCCTTCCTAAATACCGGTGCTTAAGAAACGTCAAAGAACGGGAAAGAAACAGAAGATAAAATTACGAGGTGGAGGCAGCAATGTTGTGCCCGCATGAAGGAATAAAAAGAAGAAGTTTCATCTTCAAGCGAGAATACTTCTTCTCCTCGGAGAAGATCTCTAAAGACCGTTCTAAAGATGCTTCTCTCCTCGCATCCGGATGGATTTTCGTCTGTCCAACCACTGTTTCTGCTTATTGCGACCGAGGATCGCGATGTTCGAGGCATGGATGTTTCACCAGGACGTTTCAAGTGCCCTCCTCCTCCTCCTCCTCCAGTTTTGAGGTCTCGTTTGAGGCCGACGATAGTACGCGTCGAAACACGACGAAACGTTACGAGCTCGTACAAGCGAATTTACACAGCGCTGTTACAACATCTCGACGTTTACCAAAGTTTATTTCCGACGGAACTGCTCGCTAAAACGCGATGATGCGGTTTTAAAAGCTTGGCAGGGATGCACGTTGATGACGTGGCGTCGAATTATGCGAAATTTTGTTCCGTTATAATTTATAATGAAAATAAATGTTAAATTATCGGATAGTTTAGTTTAGTTTAGTTTACCGGACGGTTAAGTTTTCAATTTTATTTTAAATCCCTTTCTCGGGGACGCCATTTTCTTCTTTGATCGAATTGATTAACATTAGACGAAGAAAAGAGCGGGAAATTTTGAATTCGATAGAGAAAATGTATCAAGTTTATTTATTTTTCCTCACGATTATTAAAATTGAATCGGGATCGAATGTTGTTACGATAGAATGATTATCCGGAAAGATATTATCGCGTTCGATTGCAAAGGGTTAAATACCAGAAGAGCTTAGAATTCGTAGAATTCCATTTATTTTACTTATATTATATTTTTCAAGGATATGAAATTTTTCTTCGGGAA